CACCGCCCGCCCCAGGCTGAAAAACACCCGCTAACTTTATTCCTTCCTTTCTGAGGTTTAATCTGTGTGGTACCTATGTCTCCGAGGTGTAACCATCATCTCTGAAAGTCCAGATAAAAGAAAAAGACTCTGGGGGTTGCACTGACCATTAGTGCAAAAGTTGACTGAGCACCGGCTGTTGTCAGACGCAGAACCTGGTCTGTGGCTCAAGAGCTCAGTCCAAGGGAGACGCTTAGAAGGTGCTGCGAAGGGTGTCCACAGAGTTAAGTCCAGAGCCCATGGCAGCTCCGGGCCGGCCTACCTGAGCCCCCGGGGAGGCTGGCCCCAGGCTCTCAGGACCTCCCTAAGTACTTCGGCTTTTGCTCTCAGAGGGGGTCGTGGAAGGGGCGGAGCAAGGAGTGATGAGATGTGATGTGCATGTTTAAAGTATCATCCGGCTGCAGTGTGGGCTAGGATGACCCATGTCCAGGTTTGCGTGGGACCAGGGAGTTCCTGGGCATGGTGGGACATTTCGTCTACCTGCCAGCGAGGCTCTGTAGGTGACACTGCCAAGCCCGCGACAGTCACAAGCCCAGGTGGACACACAGCAGCCATGGGGTCAGCGCCGCCCTGGGGCAGCCCCTCGGCCAGCAACCGGGACCTGCCCTCCCACCGTCGGCCTGTACCAGCACCTGCATTTTTATCAGGCAGCCGGCGTTTTAAGTATTTCCGAGGGGGCGGCTTTTGGGGGGATTCTCTACACAACTATATTGCCAGAAACAGAAACGCTGGTGGTTTTACAAAAGGCTTTGAGTCACTGCCCGTCAGGGAGGGCTGGGAGGAGCCAAGAGCGCACAAGACTGAGTTCCGAGGTCACAAACTCAGGGAAGAGTCACCGTACCTGTGGCAGCCCCATGCGTCAAGTGTGCGTCCGGGTGCTGCGTGAGGCCGGAGGACGCTGGCTCACTGAGTCTCCTCACAGCGGGGAAACCGAGGCTGGGCGCCCCCCTGCCCCTCTGGGTGGCTGCGTCCCCAGTCTTTCCTCTGCTCTTTCCCTCTTTCGTTCCTGCCTCTCTCTTCCTCCTGCCGCCCTTTCTCCCTCCCATCTTCTTGGCCACATTCAGACCTACCTGTTCACCCTAAAAAGTGTGTGCAGCATTGCCAGGGCTCAGGGTCACAGAGGATCTGCCCCGCGTAGAGGGGTGGCCACTGTCCCCCACCCCACAAGAGCTCAGTTGCCAGTGGGGGCATCCTGAGAGCCAGGCTCACTCTGAGATTTCTCTCCCCGTCGGTCACACCGTCCCGGTTCACATCCGTGACTTACTGGTGCGAGTTCACAGTCAGGAAGGGAACCTCACAGGTACCCATTTTGCTGCGGGGCAGGGTCGTCTGCTCACGCCGCCGTCTCCAGGAGAAACTGGAATAAAGCAGAAAGCAGGCACTGCCTGGAACCCTGCTCGGAGCTCCGACTTCCCGCCGAGTTACGCCCTTGGAAAGCGGCGAGGACGAGGCAGGGAGCTCCGTGAACACATCTTGTTTGGAAAACGAGCTTGGAGTATCCCCAGCTCGGTTCCCAGCTAATGTAAAGCGGAGCACAGATTACTCATTTGGGGAGTGAGAGCAAGGAGTTTTATGTCTGAAATGTGGGAGCCAAAATTTCTAGACAGATACTTCGTGTTTTGGGGGGCAGAATGGAGAGAGGACCAGCCTGGGAATCGGAGGGTCTACATGTGCCTCCGGCTCTGCCACCAGCCAAGTGGATGGTCTGGGACAAGCGGACACTGTCTCTGTTTCCCATTTGTAACAGGAGGAGTGAGGTGGCCTCCAAAGTCCCTTCCAGCCTGCATGAGGCAGGATTCTGTGCCACAGAGGATGTTTTGACCTCGACATCTGGGGTTTGCATCGCCTGGGGTGCCTTATGAATAAGCACAGCATTAGGGTGCATTTTCTCCTTCCATCCATCCATTCTGCAGGCAAGCAAAACAAAAAAACCTCTCTCACCACCCACTTCTGCAGGGCTTTTAAACCACTGGAAAGTTGCACATTTTAGCAAATGAAAGCTCTCCCCAAGTGGCTGCGCAGCCACAGAAACTCGCAGGGACCCGCCCACGTGCAAAGGCATTTCCAGGAGATCCGGGCTTTCTCACCCAAACTAAATTGCCACGTCCTGCGTGTCTTCAGGGACCAAAGGCTGCTGTCTCCCCGTTTAATTCGCTGTAGGTCCCGCCGTACGCGTGCGAGGCTCTGCTCTCACTTTTCCTTTCCACTTAATCCCTGAAATGAATGTCTCGGTCATGCCGTGGCTGCCGTGAAATCGGTTAATTGGGCTGGGAGTGCAGAGGGCTATGTCCACTGTCCACACTCGCAGCAATTCCGTCCCATGGGCAATAAGGGATAAATTAGAATAAGAGTCGCATATAGGAGGTGGCCGGAAAGGGGGTGGAAGGGGTAGAGATGGGATGAGACTTTTCTGAATGTGTCCTGTTATGCTGACTTAATTTTTGAACCATTTTAAATCCTCAAATGAAGTACCAATAGGAACAAATGAACCTAAGTAGATATAAAACAGACAACACGGCCCAAAAGAACAATGACTGGAGTAGCTTGGACACAGTGCTTTGATGATCCCACCTCAGCGGGAATAGTCTCAGATTAGAAAGGGCTGCAGAGACATTTTTAATTTTGCCTCCCAGGTTTGTGGCTGATGGTGTCAAAAGAACAAAGAGCACCTGCGTTATAACAAAGGTGTTTTCTTCATATCAGACGAGGGGTCTGCGGCCCTCGCTTCCCCTCCGGGAGCAGCTCAGAGGACTCCGAAAGGAGAGTGGGCTTTGCAGAACAAAAGGAGGCAATCTTCAGGCAGCCCCTGACGGATGGCAGCCGTTCGGTCGTGTTGGGAAGCGGGGAAGCTTCCTCACTGGCGGTCCAGTGCGCCTGGCAGTCTCTGCCTGGCCCGCTCTCTCCTGGCTCATCCCGGGGCTTTCCGGGCTGAGTAGAGTCACTACAGATTTTCCCGTGTCAACCTAAACCGCATCCGCTCCTCCACTGTGCGATCTGAGTCTCCCATAAACAAGTCTCCTGTCGGTTACTGGGTGTGGTGATTCCCAAACGGTTTGTGCGCTTGAAGGCTAGAGCCAATGATAAACCTACAGGTGGTTGGGAACCCAGGTTCTCGCTGTTGGAGAAGAGACAGACACACAGCGTTGAGCAGACTGAAGACAAGTCCTGGAGTTTGCAATTCGATTTGAGGCGATCTCGTGATTTTGTTAAAAAGGTATGAAGGTTGCTTGGTATCTCCAAGCAACTTCCTGAAGGGCTAGGGCCTCAGATTTGGTAAAGAACAAACACATTTGTGCAGAGGACAAGAGAAAAATGGGCGGGCTCAGGAGGAGAGCTGGTAGAAAGACGCAGTGGGAGGTGGCAGGGAGTGGTAACTGGGGTTAGGCAAATGCTGGGCAGGTGTGGTTGGCACCAAAGATCCAACACTCAGTGGCGGCATCCACACTCCATTTTATATTGTAAAATATCAGTGGGAGGCACTTATAGGAGTTATAAAGATCATAATTAACACACGGTCCCTCTTTCCAAAAATAAAAATAATAGTGTACTGGCTGAAGGCATAGGCTGTGGAGCCTGACTCCCTAAATTAGACCCTGGTTCCACTCTCACTGGTATGAGGCTGCTAAAGCTGGCACAATCAAGTACCGCAGACTGGGTAGCTTAACCAACAGAAACTTATTTTCTTAGTTCTGGAGCTAGAAGTTCCCAGATCAAGGTGCTGTCAGGGTTGGTTTCTGGTAGGGCCTCTTTGCTTGACTTGCAGACAGATGCCTTTTCCCTCTCCCCACGTGGCCTCCTCTCTGTGTGCACGGGACAGAGAGCTCTCGGGTGTCTCTTCCTCTTACAAGGACACCAGTCCTAGTGGATTAGGGCTCCACCCTCATGACCTCATTTAACCTTACTTACCTCCCTAAAGTTCCAACTTCCAGATACAGTCACGTTAGGGGGCTGGGGCTTCAACATATAAATTTTGAAGGCACACAATTCAGTCCATAACGCTGTGTGATCCAGGATAGTTAACTAACCTCTCTGCACCTTAGTTTGCTCATATGTAAGAGATCATAACAGCATCCATCTGAGAGGGCTGATGTAAGATTCGATGGTTGAGGCACATAAAGCATTCAGCACCCAGCATACAATAGACACGCAATAAACTGTTTATGACTTCATTCAATACTTAATTTGCGAATGTATCAACTACTTTGGTGAGAGTAGAATTAGGAGCACACATGTAGAATGCCTTTTTTAGACATTAAAAAATGCATATTTCAATTTGTTTTTGCAAAGCTGAAGGTGAATCTCACTGGCCCTCCAATATTTGGGCAACAGAAGAAGTTCAAGTGTTTATTGAAGGGATTTTTAACCTGAGCCTGAGGTGGGGCGCATTGTTATGTAAATGATGGCAGTTGGCTGAACCCACTGGAGGGGAATCATTCTCACACACTGCAGAGCACAGTGCCTCCGGGGCTCAGTCCCCAGCAGCGTTGTCCCACCAGAAGGCTCATAAACACAGTGCATGGCACTTGATTACTGCGCCAACCCAGGGCTGTTCTTCCTGAGAATGAGGACAGTGAAGGTGTCACCCTATACAGGTCACAGCTGCAGGCAGCAGCCCCGCACAGCTCACTGGGGGCCCACACTCACACTACCAAAGCCTCTGCTCTTCTCTCTGCAGGAATGACGTGCCAAGCTCGGAGCTCCTACATCACCAGTGAGATCCTGTGGGGTTACCGGTTCACCCCAGTCCTGACGCTGGAAGACGGGTTCTACGAAGTCGATTACAACAGCTTCCACGAGACCTACGAGACCAGCACACCCTCCCTCAGTGCCAAAGAGCTGGCCGAGCTGGCCAGCAGGGCAGAGCTGCCCCTCAGTTGGTCCATGTCCAGCAAACTCAACCAACATGCAGAACTGGAGACAGAAGAGGAAGAAAAGAACCTCGAGGAGCAAACAGAAAGGAATGGTGACGTGGCCAACCTCGAGGATGAGTCCAAAGTGTAGTCCCCTGGCCGGGTGCCCCTCCTCCTCAACCTGTCCCCTGGCTGGGCACCCCTCCTCCTCAACCTGTCCCCTGGCCAGGCACCTCTCTTCCTCAACCTGTCCCCTGGCCAGGCACCCTTCCTCCTGTCCCACCAACCTGTCCCCTGGCCAGGCACCCTTCCTCCTGTCCCACCAACCTGTCCCCTGGCTGGGCCACCCCTTCCCCTGTCCCACCAACCTGTCCCCTAACCAGGCCACCCCTTCCCCCATTCCCCAACCTCTCCTTGTCTCTCATCCTTGTGCTTTCTGTCTCTTACTTTGTTCGTCCTTTATTTATATTTTATTTTGGCATTACCAGAAAAATCTTCAAGGTGTAAAATATCTACCTGCCCTCTCTCACTCAGATTGACGAGGTAGACATGGATTTGGTTAAGGTGTGAGGTGCCCTCATTGGTGGCCCAAGCCTGTCTCCTCCCTAAATACCACACGCCCAGCTCCTAGAGATCTAAGCTACTTACCTGCATGTGCTATACAAGCCAGATCACTCAAAAGAGTGTGTCAAAGATGTGGCCTGGGATGCATGGTAGGTCTCCAGTGCCTATTCACCCCTGCAGTGAGACACAGAGCATAGCCCTCACTTTCACAGATCCCAACACAGTTCATCTCCAGGGCCAGGTGTTTGCCCCGTGTGGGCCTTGCAGGTGTAGGACCCAGGTGACATAAAGACGAGACACTGTACATATATATATGCCTTATGTAATTATTTTCTTTTGCAGTTAGTAATAAAACCCAGCATGTACAAAAGTACTGTAGAACACAACTTCTAAATAATGTACATAGATATATAATTACTGTAGGTTTAGATATATACGTTTAGAAATAAGATGTAAAAAAAGAAAAAAAAAGATTCTCAATGTACAGTAGGTATTTCTGTTCCAATGTCTTTGTTTTCTGAATTTCTTTGGTCCCATTGACTGCTGGCCCTTTAGTGCATGGCCTTTGTTCTGTGTCCCAGACTGGCAGCCTGTTTGGGTACCTCACTGTTCCCTCGCTGATCCTTTTTATTGAATCTAACAAGCCATAGGTCTGGGGGAAGTTGGGAGGTCTAGTAGATGGCAAAACCCACCACCAATATACTGATATACTGTGAAATGTTTACAAACTGAGGTCTCTTTTTTAAGATAACAAGGGCCTCACTGACTAGCCTGGGGAAGAATTCCAGGAGGACATTCTCTGGCATGTCACCAATGACGTGTTTATGTTTTTCACATGAGTTTGCTCACCCTTCTTAGTACAATAGTTTGGAAAACATCTACAAAACCACTGATTCTCCAGTTGTTCCATTCTGTAATCGTGAGGAACTACAGACTATTGCAATGAGACATGGCAAGTGAGCAGAAGATGGTTGGGTCTAAAGCCATGAACTTCATGGAGGCTCGTAGTATCTTTGACCTCACACACTGACTTTATCTGGCACTCTTCCTGACCCAGGGGCTTATCCATCGACTTCTTGCATTGTTATTTATTCCTGTTCTTTTATTATTATGAAATGACCAGAATTCAGAGTTCAATGATTACACCAACAATTTTGGTAACTAAGAAATCTCTTAAGAGTATGCCACAGCTTAGAAATAAAATCCAAAGTGTCTCTCAATCAAAAGAAAACAAAAAACTTCAGCCTTAATTTACCTTAATCTGCAAAGAATGTAGAAAGAGAGAGCGAAAGAAAGAGAGCAAAGAAGGAAGGAAAGAAGGGAGAGAGGGACAGGAGAGAGGTATTTTGTACTGAAAACCTAAATTTCAATATAAAAATTTTTTCAAGTAAAAAAATGGAAGAGATTCTTGGACAAAATGTCAAGGGCAGGTGGAGATTTTGCACTGTAATAGGTCTTTCACATTAATTTTACAATTTTCAACTGTTCCCTAACGCAGTCACCCATCATAAGTATCCACTGGCTGGATTCAAGTTCATTTTCAGCTGCTGCAGCTGTGCTGTTTGAGGCTTTGCACCATGGAGGTCAAAGAGCTCAAACCAGCAGTCCCTCCCTGTTGACCTTGCTTTTCCTGACCAGATCGCACAGGCCTTCGCAGTCGTTTGGGGACGTCTACTAAAAAGCGTGTTGCGGAGATAAGGGTCGGGGCTCCTCAGTCTAACATGGAAGTCTCTCTTCTCCCACTTCCAAGACTTTGCATCAGGACAACTGCTTCTTGGCACTGACTTTATGGAAAACAAAACTGTTGGCATAGCCCTTTCTTGTTTGCCAACATTTCACTCTTTGCATTGAATATCTTGAATCATTTATTCATCCCACACTCTACAGAGGAGGCTGCAGTCAAAGAGGAGGAGGGAGCCCCATACACTTCCTGCCAGGCCGCGGGGAGGGACTGTGGCCTTACCTCCATGGAGCCTTATAAAGGGCGCTCTTGACTCGAGGGCGCTAACCCTGCGTATCACCAGAGTTGCAAGTCTTGGCATGGTAGCACAAAGCAAAATCGAGCAGGGGTTGCAAAAAGTCTGCTGACTTAGCTCCTGCAGACTCACTGGACCTTTTTAAATCGGTTACTAAGGCTTAACTACAACACACACCCTGGTGTCTGGTTGGAACAGCAGCTCGGGGCCCTTTAGCACAACTGAACAAAGAGCCTGGACGACCCTTTGGTCACGCACACGTCAGTTCTGTATCTGGGACAGGGCACCTGGGGGTGAGGCCCTCCCTATACCCGCTGTCTTTGGTGTCAATGTAGTTGGAGACAGAGCATGAACCAAATCTCGTTTTTGTAATGTGAGCCCCTGAATCTTTCAATAAGGATGTTCCAGGAGAACCTTTTACTAGAATGTCCCGCTCAAACATGTCTATTTTTCTACAGTTATTGATAACACAGTTTAACAGTGTATTTTGTGTCAACTGTTAAACTTTGGAACTGAAAGCAGCTCATTAAGACTGAATTTTCTAAGCAGCAAGCACTAAATGGTGTTTTTCATTAAGACAGTTCAACAAAGATGCCCCCACAATTCCCAGTCCCCATATTCCACATCCAGGCCTGTTCACTCAGCCACCTGGTTAGCAAACCCAGTGCTATGAAAATAAATAAGCCCATTTTAATGCAAAAGTGCCCATAACACCTAAGAATCACTCTCAACTTGGTATTTTGGCCTGTTTGGTTGGCGTTTGGAGTCCCTTTTCCATAAAACCATGGTGGCATCCATCAGCTAGATAAGCACTCGGAACTAAAGGCTACAGTTGGCTACAGCTGACCCCAATCTGGAGAAAAGCGCAGACTCAGCTCAAAGCAGGACCCCAGGGACGGCTGAGACCCTCAGATTCTCACTTCTACCCACTGCAACATGCTTTCCAGACAATAAAGCGCCTATCCATTTACAGTCCACTTTATGTAATTAATAGAATTTTTTGTCTTTGGCTGTCCCCTGGCCGATTCACATTTGCAGTCATGTCGGGTCATTGCCTTGCTATTCCTTGGAAATGTGGCATTCCAGCCCCGTGTCCAGAGAAGGAGCTCTCTGTGCCCCACCACTTCCTCCACCTGTCCCTCTTCTGCTCTTTCCCTTGTCCTCCAGTTCCACTCACTTAGTTCAGGAACTTAGAAACATCCCCAAACAGAAACCCAGCTACTGTCTAAAAATGTCACCCTGTTTCCTAAGCACAATTTTCTCTTCCAGGTTTAACCACGCTAGGGCTCTAAAATGTCTATTTTTCATTACATTCTCATTTTAAAAGTATTTATGACTTAATAGAAAGCCTAGATTTTGAAGTCTCCACCTCAATGTCTTTATATTTTTTTCCCTCCCTACATTTTCTTACAGTTCAGGTTTCTTAACTTTTCCCCCTTTGCTTTTTTTATTTAGGTTTAAGTAGGTATCTTAGGGATGTTCAGAAACTTGTTTATAAAAGTGGGAGTTGGTAGACAGAGAAAAAGACTATAAAAATGCTGTCAGGAAACTATACTTGAACTCGCCGAAAGAATGTGAAACTGCTGCTTAGCTGAGTGATTCAAGATTTTTCAGACATTTTAAATTCTCGTAGTCCTTTCCAAGACCACTTTCAGTCTTTCTGTCCTTGACCTGGGTGATACTCAGTGAGACTCAGAACAGTCAAAAGGGGAGTTGAAAATGAAATGTTCTACAAATATGATAAATATTACCTTCTATAAGTTCCTTCCAGTGGATGGCTGTCAAATCAAAAAACAAAGGCAGCATAGACATAATAGATGACTCACTAATAATAATATTAGCTTGTTTCTCAACTTTATGGCCAACCTATATTTAAGGAAATGTTACCCTTTAATTGCAAATGGAGTAAAACACACCTCTCCCTACTATTTCCACCTTGATGTGTTGGAAAGCTTGGGATGCAGCGCGTCATCTAGAAGTTGAAACTCACAGTATGTGCAGTAACAACAAAGCATCATGATGCCCTACTGTGTGTGGTATCTGAAGCACTCACAGCACTTGCACAAATTATTTCATTTAATTCTAATTCATTAGGAGAGCTTGAGTATTATAATTTACATTTTATAAACGGAAAACTAGGATTTGGGCAAATCAGGTCACGTCCCCACGGTTGCAAGGCCTGTAAATCATGGGCCCTGGTCTCCATCCAGGTGCCGAGGCTTATGCCCTGGGCTCTTTTTACTACAAAAAGGGGCGGCAAACCAAATCTGCGCACAGCTTTGGGCAGCCGCCTGCTTTTGGAAACCTTGCGAGCTAGGGATGATTTTACAGTTTTAAATTGTTGGGG